ATTCAATTTCTTTCATGTTTTCATAGAGATATTACCGGTATAAAATGCAGTAGGGTCCCCGTCGTTATTAGTGGTCATTTCCCTAATAACGACGCCAAGCCATTTTACATTCCTAATAACGACGTTTCAGCAAAAGTTATGCTAAAATGAAACTTTTCAGAAAAACATTTTTTCGCGAATTTCTATCAAGAAAACCACCCTAAGTATCACTGGCAAGTTTGAAGATCATCTCAAATACTATCTATATCTAGCGGTTCATGATGACTTAATAATGTAATAAGAGATTTCTACGATCGTCAAAGATCATGTCGAATGTGTCGGAAAAAAAAGTCTCCCTACTCAGAAAAAAATAAAGGAGTTTTGCAGAACCTTTTTAGAGGTTCGGCCCGCGAGTACAATTCAGAACCCCTCAGAAAGGTTCTGGCTCAAAGTAGGTTCTGTGAGAAACTAATTGAATCATACATCCGTCCTCATCACAAAATGGTTCAGTCTAGAAAAAAGTTCAGTCAAAAACTGGATGAAACCACCCATCAACCTCTTTTTAGAAGAGGTTCCGTTTCACAGTGGAAACACCATAACTCGATGGTTTTCTTTTAAAAACCATCTTCGAATGCAGCAACAGGTTTTGCATTGTAGAATCTGCTGAATCTTTGCAAGCTATATTGTCTTATTATGAGCATACGTACCTATCAAAATGATGATCATATTTCAAATGAGAACCATATGTCAGAACGACAATAGTGATTGTGAAACTTCAATTGCATAATTCACCATTGAAATTAGATGAGGATAAATCTAAATGTAAAAAAGAAGACATTACTTTTATTTATTTAAAATACATAACTTACTCATGTAATCAGCTAAGGATAAATCTAAACATAAAAAGAGGGTATTGGTTTTGTTCATTTTAAAGTATATAACTTACTGGTGAAATTACATGAGGATGAATCTAAAATAAAAAGAGATTAGTTATATTTATTTAAGATATGTAATTCATTGCCGAAATCAGATGAAAATACATCTAAGTATAGAAAGAAGATATTATTTTTCTTTATTTAAAATATATAACTCACCACTGAAATTAGATGAAGATTTAACTAAATATAGAATAGAGGTATGCGTTTTGTATATTTGGAATATATAACTTACAATTTGGATACGATCGATGTTAAGTGAATTTGAAAGGGAAATATTCATTTTATTTCCAAGACATTACTCATCATGAGTATTACGTAAGAATGATCCTATACAATAGACGAAAAAGATCGATCGTTGTTGTAAACTATCTAACTTACTATTAATATTGGGTACATATGATATTTGATAAAGTTTTTCTTTGTTTCATGTTCAAATAGCTTTAGGAGGATAAATATATTACCAGCATAAATAACGATTTATTATAAGAAAACATTGATCTCATAGTGGTAAGATAGAACTTAGCATCGATATATCGTCCAGTTAGAAGAAAAGATAAAACACGTATTTGTTTATTTTCATTTTAGTTTAGATTTCACAGAATAATCATAAAATAAATGAGCATCGAACAGAAGAAGACTTTATAAAATAACTACTTCTGTGGTAATCATAATGTGACATTTTTTACAAGAAAATCGATAAGAAAAAGTCAAAGTATATCACATTAGTTACATTTCTCCTACTTTTGTAATATGAAAAGGACATAATGAGAACGAGTTACGGGGAACATAATGTTTAAGTTTTCAGTGATTGAAGAATCATGATAAACGAGATTTCTTCGATTGTAGACGAGTTGAAGATCTTGTTATATGTTCCTGGGATGTTGTCAATTTCCGTTTTTTGGATGATGTGATGCTTTAGTTGTAGGTTCAATATTAAAAGAACTGCTCTCAATTGTCTCAAAAATATTTTCGTTGACAGCAGGTTTTGAAGATTGTTTCTTCGATGACATAGATCCATTTTTTGATGTGGTTGATATTACAATCGGATTTTCTTCCACAACTAGCAATGAAATATAATAGAAAACCAAAATAGCTATTAAAGAGGAATTTTCGAAATAACAGATCAAAGTTTTTTTTGTTTTGAATAGTAATGCGAAATTGTTTACTTTTGATTGAAACATGACATTTTCATAGAACGATCAGTTTATAGTATTGTTTTTAATACTTACCTAAAGCTGGCGCATGACTAAGTGAATGACTCGTTACTGATTCTTGATCCATATCATTAATTGTTTGATTTTGAATGGGATCAACTTGTTCAACTACATCTAAACCATTTTCATTTGATTGCATTGATATTGTACTTTGAGTTATATTACTAT